AGTTTCTTTCGAATAGAATAATCCAAGCCACCAGCGGCCATTTCGACTAACTCATGTTCAGGCACTACTGTGTAACATCTGGATTTCAAAAGCCTAAATCTATTCAGATAATCATCTATGGGTTCGGTGAACTTTCTCTTAACACTGGCCAATTCCTTCAAGCTTATTTTCGATTGTCCCATGTAAAATTGTTCATGGAATAATCTCTCCAAGAGAGCCCAAGTATCAATGGACCCAGGAGGCAAAGTGGTAAACCATGTGAAGGCGTTTTTAGTCAAGGAACTTGGGAAGTATTTGATCTTGAGATCTTCATTATTGGCTATATCTCCCGCTTCGGTTAGATATCTCGCTATGTGTTCGACTGTTGACTCATTGGTATCCCCAGCGAACTTTGTAAATTTAGGGACTTTATATCCCCTTGGTAAATCAGTATGCATTATGCAATCCAATATAGGAGAAGCATAATTTGGCCTTCTCATTCCTGTGTTGAGGCCATTCTGGGCCATGACTCTCTCTATCATGGTGGTTAGATTGTTTTCTGCCAAGATGTTATCGTTTCGAATTCTATGAACGACAGCATCGGCATCTTGATTTCGACCAACCAAGACAACTCCCCTAGGTTGTTCTTCTCGAAACTCTGGGGCTTCTAGCCTTTCGACCCTTGCCCCTGGTTCCATAATTTCTCTTTGTGGGCCTGGGATTATTGGGGCTTCTAACCTTGGTGCCCTGGCCCCTAAGTTAACTTCTTCTCTGGGTGGTCTATAAATTGGGTCGTTAGCAATTTGTTCTATAACAGGCATGTTTGCTCGAAATCCCGCCTGATTCTGCCTACGCCTTTCTGGGGGAGCAAAGAAATCTGCTATTCGACTCATGTTGTCAGCGTTTTCCCTGTTTGTCACAGTCACATTTTGCATTATTGGGGCAAATATCTCCTGCATGGTTTGTGCTAACACCCCTATCATATTATGGTTAATGTCATCCATCAATTGCCTAAAAGCCAACTGGTTTTCTGTGGTTAAGATAGGCATTGTGCTATAACCCACTGACCCTTGGTTATTTGTCATAAACTGATTCGCCCCAGACCCAGACCCTAGTTGTGGGGATGAATTCGATGTGGAATTGTGTAAACCTGCCATAAAAGATGTTGGCATTCCATAAGAGGAATTTCTGGTTCTATTTCCATCGAAACCGGGTGGTCTAGTTAATGGAGTGGCGAAATGGGATTGTGTCCCTGATGGTGGGACGAATCCCCCAGGGTAACCAATGGTTCCAATATTTCCTAAGATCGAACTATTAGTTGATATGCCACTTACTCCATTGGTGGCTATATTACTGGTTGAAGATGCAACAGACTGTGCATTCGAAGGGATCACATTAGATGTTCCGATCGAAGTGGACACATTAGTGCCTGTTGTATGTGGGGCATTTTGTTCCCCTTGTTGATTGTCAGAATTAGACATTTTGTCCAAACGTTTTCTTCTGGATAAAGGTTGGTTGCTGTTGGTTATTTTACCACTTCTCAGGTTCATAAAACAGCAAACTTCTTAGGTTCCAACGTTTTTATAATGGTTATGTCTCAACAATCTTTATTTCTAATATCCAATTATTGGTCCCACCAGGTGTGCCAATTTGTTTCCAGTGATTTCTGGTAAACAACCGCTAGTCTTCCAAACTATCGAATAATCTTTCTGACTGTTATTCAATTCCTCTGGTAACTCACAGGATCGACTAGATTGATCCTAGGATTCCTTGGTCATTAGGGTAAGTCTCATGGTCGAACAGATATTCATGGTTGATATTTGAGCGTTGTATAGGTGTTTGGCTTATTTCGATTTCTCTCTTAAAGGTCTAAAGATGTAATCAAAATGTGCGTGTACGAAACTAAGTTGCATGAATAAATGTTAATTGTAAAGACATGTAAAATTGCATAAAAGGCAAGCAAATGGTTTCGAATTATAAAAACAGTTAATGTAAAGGATTTCTGGAACGTAAAAGGTTTGAAATATGAAGAAAGCGTTTAATGCAAGAAATCTGTAAATGACTTTAAGTAAAAATAGGCGTTCGAAGGATAAAGCTTGAAGGTAAAGGCATGGAAAATATGACAGTTTTCTGAAATGTAAAGTGCTTGAAATGTGAAGAAAGCATTGAAATGTAAAACTTTAATGAAGAGATTTCGAAGTGAAAAGACTGTAAATGAGAAAACTTATAAATGTTATTTGACAGAAAGATAAAGGAAAGTGCTGGAAATGGTCAAAGGTTTTCATTAAATTATAAATATATGGTGCTATCATACGTACATTGCTCTTGCATTCGTTTCCCTTGCCATGTGGTAGTTTGAATGTTACTGAGTATTTAGTACAATAAATATGACACACGAAATCCTAATACTAAGACTTCTATTTATACTAATTCGACCATAACGGTCTTGCTATAGGATTATGCCACGTTCAGAACATGCAGAACAATGCCTCTTTCTTCTTTCCACGTGTCTCCAAATGCTCCGGCACATAAATTTCAAACTTCGAATGTCCCGCTTCCATTTGAATTTCAAATGCTTTGGTATTTCTCCGTTTCAAACGCACTTCCCAGACACAGCCTTGTTGTTATTTCGAGACTTCTTTAGATATGTTCCCATAATTGCCACTCGAAGCTCCAGCTTTGACATGCTTATTCGAAACACTGCTTCTGCTACTTCGAAACATGACGCTTTACTTCATTTCGATCGAAACGTTTAATTCATTTGGCTTCTAATAATATTATCAAAATCTTCAGCCAACAGCGGGCAACTGTGCTCAAAACGGCGTTCACAGAAGCTATCCATGAAACATGGCTTCGTAGGAATGCTACTATTTTTGATACTACTTATAAATATAACCCAGAAGATAGAATTATTGACTGTATAGTGTATAGATGCTGGGGTAATAGGAAGATTAGGCTCAATATTGCTAGATTAATGATTTAGCGTTTTTGTAGCTTAGCTGACTGAATCTGTTGAGATTGCCTTGGAATACCTCTCCTTTTGAATTAATATACATATTTTGGTTCAAAAAAAAAAACATTAATAAATATATTTGAATATTTATTTGATATTTAAATATTAAATAATAAACTAAATAATTTAATATGTTTAATAAATATATTTTAATATTTATTAATAACATTAATTATATATTTTTTTAATAATGAAATTGGTGGCTGAAGATAAAATTGATCTCACTACAATAAAGATTGTTTACCATCTTTACACCATTCTATCTTCGGCCATCAATTCTATCTATATATATTTGACTTCAAGTTGAACAACCTCAACACCCGTGAAAACCGTTTGAAAAATATTGTAGCTGAAATAAGAAGACTATTTCATATCACTGCTCAAAATATCATACATATTGTTGAAAAGACTCTTAACCAATCTCACTAATTATTGATCTAGTTAATCCTTTATTAAGATAGTATTTTGCAGCCTATTTCTAGTAGGATACTAATAACAAAAATAGGATACAAATAAACAAATATAAACCAACAAAACGTCTTATTAGTAATGTCTATTATCCACATTTCACTTAATAATTTAAAATATAAAGATTAATTTTTATTTCACAATTTTTTGAATCCTACACAAGAATACTAATTAATACATCCTCTAATAATTATTATAAGATTTTTTTTTATTTATTAAATAATTAACGTATCTAATATATAATAATAATTAAATATATTATTTATTCAAATTTTTTTTTTGCTTACAAATAGTAATAAGAAAATATGTCGATTTTAATATTTAATTCTAATTTCTATCAAATCTAAACCCGAAAATAGATTCACATAGCAAAAATCCCACAACTTGGGTTTAGAGGTTATACGTAGAGCATGATAACAATAACACTTTAATTTATTATCGTAGGTAATTTATATTACGACAACTGTAATTAATATTGTATACTATTATCGATCAAAATTGTACAAACGGTAACATATGTAAAATCTTAACATTTATAAGTAGAAAAATTCACTTATTTATCATCTTAAAATGTTAGGTGAATAAATGATATATTTTTCACAAAAAATACATAATTTTTAATTTTATATCAATAGTCCTAATAAATGATTTTAGGTAGCCAAACAATATCACACAACCAAAAAAAAAAGAAAAACTAAATCAGAAATTAAACACAATACTAACCACCCAAACTAAGGTAAACTCATATACACTCTCGCTTTAGAGTTTTCATGTTATCAATTAATCATAATTAACAGTCATCATAATCATTTATTTAATCACACACATATTTGATTGTGATGGGTACTTTTTAGGGTGCATGAAAATTAAACTCTTCCAAAATTGAATTGTTGAAAGATTTACTCCTCTGTTGATATTGAAACACGAACTGAGAAATTAGGGAAATTAAGCAAATCTAATAATGTAATAAAATGTGAAAAGTGAAAAAAATAAGAATGTGGGGTGCAGAACTTTACGCGCGCTGGGAAAGGTAACAAGTAACCCGTGTTTGGTTTTAGGGATATTGTTCTGAAAACAATATCAGCGACAGAAAACTGAAAAGTGGGCTCAGAACTTACTTACTGGGAAAGAAAACGAATGGAAGGAGTTAGAAATCATCTCATCAAACACGTGTTTGCTTTAAAGGAAAATACCGAGAAAGAAGTTGAAGCCACAAAAAAAAAGAGTGAGCTAGCTCATTGCTTAACGCGCTCAGAAAGAAAACAAGTGGAAGGAAGAGCATATTTTCTCTTTATTAACGCGTTTGCTTTCCCAGAAAACGACGAGAAAGAAATATGAGGAACAAATAACAGAAAGCTAAGTTACTCACCCACACTCACTCTCACTCTCACTCTCTCACTGTTATCTTCCTCTCTCTATATATAACACAAGTTACTTTTCACTCTCCCATGTCTTAACATCAAAACCAAACAACTTTTCAGTACTCTTATCTTCACTTCCATCTTTCACTATCAAAACTTTTTTCCACTCTCTCCGACACATGGATATGTTTACTAGAAACAACTCTTGTTCTTCCTGTGACACTTCACTGCAGAATTCAGATGGCTCTCACTGGATGTCAATTTCCAACGATGAAATACGGTTAGCTGCGACTACCCCGAAGAAGCCTGCAGGGAGAAAAAAGTTCAAGGAGACTCGCCATCCGGTGTATAGGGGAATAAGGAAAAGAAACAATGATAAATGGGTATGTGAAATGAGGGAGCCGTTCAAGAAGACTAAAATTTGGTTAGGTACTTTCCCGACAGCCGAGATGGCTGCACGAGCGCACGATGTTGCTGCATTGGCATTAAGGGGCCGTTACGCCTGTCTCAATTTCGCAGACTCAACTTGGCGCCTCCCTAAACCAGCTACTACAGAGGTAAAAGATATACAAAAGGCGGCTGCAGAAGCCGCTAAGGCTTTCGGACCAGATCAAACTTTACCGATTAATGATGTTGACACGGCTTTAACGGCTAATGATGTTGACACGGCTGTAGCTGCCTCTGCTACTGAAGAGCAGAATATGTTTTCTATGGAAGTGGAAGAAGAGGGAGAGATGAACATGCCAGAAATGTGGAGGAATATGGCACTAATGTCTCCAACACATAATTTTGGGTATCATGATGAGTATCAATACATTGATGAACAAGACTATCAAGACCAAGAGATATCACTATGGACTTTTTAAAATTGTATGTTTTGGATTACACTCATTTGTTTATTTATTTTATTGAAGAATGGAAACTGAATAAGAAACCTTTTTGTATTCTTTTCTGGGAATGTATTCACTAGTGAAGCATAAAGTGCATTAATTTCATCCCTTTTATTCTATAAATATCTGTCTATAGATCTATCTATATTGGCATTTGGGTGCAAATTTAACTTTGCACATTAAAAAAATTATAATTTATTGCTACTCTTAGGTAAATTACATTAAGTTGAAGGAAGTAAAAATCAGTGGCTCTCTACAGAGTTTGCTAATTATTTTCAGAAACCACTGTGATTAATGTTTTCATGAGGTTCATTCAGAAGGGTATCTATAATGTACCTAGCTTCTTTGGATTTGATCTATTAGTTTCTTTTACCATCTTGAATATTTGATGTACCTTATATTCATAACCTGCTGCATTTATAGTCTTCGCTTATCTACTCTTTGTCTGCATTAAGGTTAAAAACAAATACTAACATTATACTCTCTAAACACACATGTTAAGACACTATATTCTATTGATTAAAATTCATATACATCCAATCAATTTTATATGAAACCCATTATTTGTTGCTGTCTATTTTAATTTTATCGGATGATATCTATGTTGTCATTAAATAAATAAATTTACAAATGTGTATGTGTTCTCTCTCTTAGACCGACTTTTGAAGTGGGTCAAAATCAACCCAAATCTAGTAGAGTTTGTCTCACTTGAAATAATTTATCAAGAAGAGAGTAATAGGGCTAAAATGGTTACGTCAGCCCTAGTCTGACATAAGTCAAGATCTAGTATACAGGACTATCAAACCTAATTCTTTATCATCATTAAGAGGTCATAACAATCAGGATCAATCACATTAAATGGTCTTTAATGGGCTTCCGTGCAAGACGGATCATAATTACTATATAATGAGACGAACACAAGAGGAAAATTCATTCACAATTCACTAGATTCTTTGATTATGCCTTTATTGGTCTCAAATAGTTGAGTTATCATTAATACACTTTTACAAACATATAATAACTTATACTCTCTCCGTCCAATATTATTTGTTACAATTGATCATTTCACACAAATTAAGAAACAATAATAAATGAAAGAGAGAGAATAGTGATTTTTGAAGGGTGAGAAAAACACAAGAAATTGGAGGTTTGAATTGGGTTTTCTAATAGGCTAATTTATGAAAAATAATTCGCAAACAAACTAGAAAGAATATAGCTAAGGAAAGACTATAAAAGACACTTTAGTTTATCCAGGTTCACCTCTAACTAGGCTACTCTTGTCCACCCTCCTCAGGTGATTTCGCCTTCAACAAGGACTAAATCCACTAATCTCAACAGATTACAGATGCACGAGCTACCAGTCGATGACTAACCACAACTGTCTAAGAGTCTACCTGACACCTTAGCACTCTCAAGTCTCAGACTAACAACCTAGTCACTTGAGGTAATAATCAATTCTCAACAGAACTACAATCAACTGTGTTTCTAATGTTTGCTTCTAAATAAGCAGATTAACACAACTATGAAGAGCAAAGTCTTTAATATAAATAATGAGCAATAATTCTTTGTATAGAGAACTCTAAGATTAACACACAAATTATGAACAACAACTCTTTGTGTTTAATCACTTAATATTGTAACATAATAATAAGCAACAACTCTTGTGTTCTTAATATTTCTCTAGAAGAATATTTGTAGATGTATATGAATAGTGATTCTTTTTTCTCTTGGTGTTTCATAGTATTTTAGCAATTTGATTCAAGAGTGATAATGTTTAATAGTTCGTCAATCTTCAAATACTGATGAGGTCTCTTTATATAGGCTTGAAAATAAGACTGTTGGTAGTACAGAGACGCCGCTTTCACTTTCCAGCTACAGTAGCGGTAGAATTTCATCGTGGGTGACAACATAATACAATACGTAAGCAAGTAGTGGAATATTTTAATCGTATTGATTGTACTGTAAACTTCGTGGCTAAGTTTCTTAAGACTTTATCTTTTGATGATTTACTTCTGATTGAAGTAGTAAGCTTGGAAGATATCTTGATCTTGTCTTTGTCTTCTTTTCTTCTTGTTAGATTATTTTTGATATAAGGAGTGATAATGATCCATAAGATTCTTCTTTGTTGTATAGTCATAGTCTTTCATATATTTGAACATTGCCTTCAGATATATAAGTAACAAGTTATCTGATGAGAAATTTCTTCTTTGAGTGAAAGCTCTTCTGATATATACTTCTTGACTTTGTCTTGATTCCTTGATAATCAGCTTTTCTAAGCTGCATATCTGATGTCTGATTTCTGAAGCAACAACTTATATCACTACATCTGGTTTTGATGTTGAGTTCCTTTTTTCTGATCCGTTGAATTTTGATCTTTGGATTGAGTTGAAAGCAACAACTTATTGTAAGCTACATCTTTTTTGTTTTGATCATGAATTCCTTTCTTTCTTTTGGTTTGAAGCGTATATGTTTTCTGATATGAGAGCAACACTTTACTTAGAACATACTTGATTCCCTTTCTGATGAACATTCAATATTACATAGAATTGTTGATGTTTCTATATAAATGATCTCAATAGTTCTTCTGTTGAGTATAGTGGCTCTTCTGATGATATTTGTCTTTTTGTGGATATTACTTTCATTGAGTAGATTAGCATGAGAAGATATCATCATTTGATCTTGTCTTCTGATGGACTATGAGATGTTGATTAGAAATGATTCCATAAGATCTTCTTTCTTTAATCCTCCCTTCTTATGGAATACTTCTGATGTTGAATGAAGGTGAATATTCCATGAATTCTGAGTCTTCAAAATTTTGACTTTGTCTTCAGATACATAAGCAACAACTCTTCTAATGAGAAAATCTTGACTTTTGATCTTGGAGTAGAAGCTTTCTCTATATGTGTTCAGAATCTTGACTTTGTATTTAGAATCATAAGCAACAACTCTTCTAATAAACTTGTCTTGACTTCTGATCTTCTATGTTGGAATCTGGTTTCTTGTCTCCTCTTGTTTTCTGATATTGAAGCAACAACTTATCATAAATTCTTTCTTCTTGGACACTCATTGAGATTCTTTTCTGGTCGAATATTCATCATTCCATGGAACTATTGATGTTACATTTGAAACAAAACTCAATTATTCTTCTTCTGAGTGGTAATGCGATTCTGATGATATCTTGATTAAGACTATCCAAAATACTAACAATGTATATATACACACTCAATGAAACCATTAGAACTAAAAATTGTTCTACATAAAATGTATGTTTGTTATCATCAAAACTTAGAGATTAAACACTGATCCAAATCTTGTTTTTATAATCTTCCCCTTTTTGATGATGACAAAATTATGTATTTTGATGGAACAATTTTACAGGGTTAAAATATAAACAAAGTAAATTAAGAGTTTAGAAAACCCCCCATGAGTTGAAAACTCCCCCTGGGATAAATAATCTCCCCCTAAATTATAAACTTATGATCTTTCAGAGCTTAAGAGCATTGTTATCCTTTCTTAGAATTCTGGTTTAAAGCATATGGAAGCGATTTATCAGAGTTTGCTTTATCAGACATTCCTTCTTCATTAGAACCATCTAATCATTAGATAGGTTCATCATCATAGCTTAATCTATCAGACCCTTCTATGTTTGAAGTTCATTATCAATACTAGATCTCTAAGAACATTCTATACTCTATAATTTCTTTTTATCAGAGTTTGATCAATTGACCCTTCCAAAACATTAGAAGTCATTTTATCACATCTTGATTGATTGAACCTTCTAACCTTTAGAGGTTCTTAATTCATTTACGTTGTACCTGAAATACATTTCTGAAATCTTTTTGTATATATATATATATATATATATATATATATATATATATATATATATATATATATATATATATATATATATATATATATATATATATATATATATATATATATATATATATATATATATATATATATATATATATATATATATATATATATATATATATAAGCAATGAGATTTAGAGTTATGATGGTTGATAGTTCGTCAATCTTCAAATGCTGATGACGTCTCTTTATATAGGCTTGAAAATAAGACCGTTGGTAGTACGAAGACGTCGCTTTCACTTGCCAGCTACAATAACGGTAGTATTTCATCGTGGGTTACAACATAGTACAATATGTAAGCAAGTAATGGAATATTTTAATTATATTGACTGTACTGTAAATTTTGTGAGTAAGTTTCTTAAGACTTTATCTTTTGATGATTTAATTCTGATTGAAGTAGTAAGCTTGGAATATATCTTGATCTTGTCTTTGTCTTATTTTCTTCTTGCTGGATTGTTTATAATATGAGGAGTGATAATGATCCAGAAGATTCTTCTTTGTTATAGAGCTATAGTCTTTCAGGTATTTGAACATTGCCTTCAGATATATAAGCAACATGAATAATTTCTTCTTTGAGTGAAAGCTCTTCTCATCTACTTCTTGACTTTGTCTTTATTCCTTGATAATTATCTTTTCTAAGATGCATATCTGATGTCTGATTTCTAAAGCAACAACTTATATCAGTACATCTGATTTTGACGTTGAGTTCCTTCTTTTTGATCCTTGAACTCTGATATTTGGATTGAGCTGAAAGAAACAACTTATTGTCAGCTACATCTTTGTTGTTTAATCATAAATTCCTTTCTTTCTTTTGGTTGGAAGCGTATATGCTTTATGACCTGAGAGCAATGCTTTCCTTAGAACATACTTGATTCATGTTTTGATGAACATTCAGCATTCCGTAGAACTGCATATGTTTCTATATAAATTGTCTCAATAATTCTTCTATTGAGTATAATGGTTCTTCTGATGATATTTGTCTTCTTGTGGATATTACTTATGTTGAGTAGATTAGCTTGAGAAGATTTCATCCTTTGATCTTATCTTCTGATGAACTTTGAGATGTTTATTAGAAATGAGTCCATAAGATCTTCTTT